CTAGTCGCCGCAGTGCGAGCTCGACCACCCTGAGGTTGACTAGAATGCGGATTAACCATTACCAGTTACACCCTCCGACCTCACGGTAGATCAAAACTTACAGAGGTCGAGGAAAGGCGCGAGTTCGCGGGTCACAGCCACACACTCCTCCTTTCTATTCATTTTAGGGTCCTTGGCAGTGATCCAAAATGCCTCCAATGTCTTACGCGCCGTGATCTCGGGCTCCTGCGCTAAGATGACCACCGACACGTCAAATGACGTGCCTCCATGGTGTTCAACTCGATGAGCTCCGAGTGGAGTCTGGACCCTAGATCTACTGAGCCCCTCCAGATGTTCTTTAACCCGCACACGAAGGGGGCGCCCTGTTTCACCTATGTACTCACTGCCACAATTCTGGCAGTGTATCGAGTAGATAACTGCCGACTTCATGCAGTCGCCCTGTCTGCCGAAGGGACATACAACACAATCAGGGGTGTCGCATAAGGTGTCATAAAGCCGGTTGCGAATAAGGTGACGTTTTAAGCCGCCGTGTTTCAGTCTAGCCTGGCTCTGCATCCTTCCCTTGCACATGCTCAGTTCCGGCTGAGCACGTGCAAGGGAACGAAGCCGGGGGGGGGGGGAGAAGACCCTCGGCACCCCCTCCCTCCACCCCACCCTGCCCCCGCACGAGCACACGTCCAGCTGCCACGGCAGCAGCTCGTGCAATGGCTCGGAGTGTACCGAATGGTTGTCTTATATAGCGGAGGCTGTTATCACAATCAAAACATTGGATTGATACATCTGCACCAATCGGTTACCGGTTTGCCTAGCGGTCGTTTTCTCCTCCAGCGAACTCGAACCCGTGAAGCATTTTGCGGACGGACAGACATACATACATACATACCTATATACCTACCTACATACATACATACAAACCAATACACAAATCAGTTCTATAGAATGAAAGGACTCATTATCAGCTTCGTAGATCCCAGAGACCTACACAGCATCATTTGGAGCTTACAATTCGTTCTTCTGTTGTCAGTTCGCCATACCAGGTAAGACTGTCAGGTGAGGTTGTGGCAGGCAAAATTCAGAATCCCGCCTGTAAAAGGCCTACGGCAAGGAAGCCTGTCCGACTTGGAACGAGTAGTTTGCACTTTCGTTTTCCTTCTGTTAACTGATCTTAACTAACACGTCTCACTTCGGTCCGGCCTGTAAGCTTCTGTGAAGCTGAGAAGCTGTCGAACGAGCCGCTTTTGCGACAGAAATTCACAATTCACCACAAGGTTGCCCAAGCGATCTTAGCTAATTATCATTACCCCCCCCCCCACCTAGCCGAACTACGCCACTTGGGGCATACACAACTCCAATCCAATGGAATCCGTCTCGACTGTGCTCCGAAGAACCCACGGGGGGATTTTCTGCCTGCTTTGGCTGCATGTTCTTATTTTATAACGTTTGGAAATGAAACTAGAATCTTGAAAATCTGGAGATGATGACGTCTAGCTTCTCTCCTCATAAAACGCTAGCCTTGCATTTAAAAACCTGGAACGTAACAATAGTAATACCATGAGCCACGTCTGAGCCTCTGATGAAGTAATTGAAGACGATTCTATCGGAAAGTCAGGCGGTAAGGCATGTATCCACCTAACTTCCTCGTTAAGCCCACAAGGGATAACTGGCCAACGAAAGTACGATAAGAGACAGGCCTTATGCACGCAAACTTATTTGAATAGCACTCCGCATTGAAATGGTGCTGTTGGCTCAAACTAGCGGCATCGTAGTCACTAAACGAAAAACAGAGAAAAAAAAAACAGGAGAAACACACTCCGGAGTGGCTCTAGAAGCCGTGCCGAGCCAGGTAACGCAGCTAATCGTTGTGCGAAACCCAGGGGGGGGGTCGTACTTGGCCGATGGAGAGGGGGGGGGGTCGTAACCATAGGGGTCAGTGAGCACCTGGCAACGCTATGACAATTCACCTGATAAGATGAGTGGAGCTATGAAAGCCGTACAGCTTAAAAAAACGTGAAAATTTCATGAGCAGTTTTTTTTCAGATTTATCCGTTCATCAGCCTTCTTTCCATAGGAAAGTCAATGGTTTATGAAGCCTATCCCAAAACCTGCATTCGGAGCTCGATAGAAGACCTTCCTTTAAGTGAATTTAGGCGGCAAGATAGATCATATGTGATTAATGGCATTAATGTTGCTGCTGTATCACTATTGAAATGATAAAAGATTTATTAGACGTCTTGTCATGGAGAACTCCTGAAGAAAAAATCATTGCTCTGGAAGTTTCGAGCTCCCGTCTCTCTTTCATATCTTTTGGGCGTCATGTCTATCGTTCAATCGATTCTTGGTCATGTAATGAGTGACGTAGAGATCCAGAAGCGCATCTGTGTCTCCTGCAATTGCATGTGTTACTCAGCACTGAGGAGGGACATGTGGAGGAATGGTACCTTTCAGCATGGCATTTTTAACGTCCTTCATGAAACTATCCGATCGAACAAAAGTGGAGGGCATGTGTGGACGAAGGTCCAGGCCAGGAAGAGGAGTCATCCACTGTCGGACTAAGTTCTTCGGCTTAACAGTGAGCAGGCTGGGTCCGTCTCTGTGTACCCTGGAACAGTTGAGTTGTCAAAAAATGAAAACACTCCAGAAAAAGATGCAGTACCGCCGAAATGAATAAAAAGTCTACCTCATTAGAGCATCCATCCATGTGAACTCCAGGTTGGTTCCGATCCTTCTGTGTGAGTCCTATTAAACGCGTGGAGAAACGTGCGTTTACTGCGGTCTGCATTGCTTGCGGGATATACAAGCAAAGCGACCCGGTCAGAGAGTTTCAGGGCCTTAATAACGAGATACGTGAAATAGCAACATAAAATACGAATACATGCAACTCTTTACCTGACGCACAGCATGGGGGATCTTGAGTACATCGACCCTGTTGAGCAACTCTTGATAGAGTCGTATGCTGTTTGCGACTGAAGCGTGGGAACAATGAGACGCGCAGGACACAAAACCTGTGAAAGAACGAGTCTCTAAAGGTGTGAATTTGCGATGAGGAACCTAAGCGCAAGGACAGCAATAGGCGAGCGCGTAGGGCGCATGTAGCTGTGAGAAATCGAAGCAGCGGCGTGCCGGAGGGGGGAAAAACTCATCCGCGCGCGTTTGCGTAGCGGTTCGACGTTTTCCAAGACAACCAGAAAAAAAGAAGTGATTAAAGAGAGAGAAAGAAGC